TCACCAACCAGCCTGTGGAAGCTAAAATCTGGCTAGTGGGCAGCAATGAGGGCATTAAGAAGGTGCTGGCAGACGCCAACCTGGGCAAGGAGGTCACGGTGAGTCTGCTATCTGTAGAGGAGACCACTGCCATGTTGCCATTGTTATTGTTGTCTGTTGTTTGACCCAGTCCTCTAGCCATCAACAACTGGCCCTTGTCAAAGTCCTCAAATCCACGCTGCCCATTTTCCCTGCGTCAACACATCAACTTGAGACTGCCTAAATATTCCACTCCACCACAGAGCACATGAAACTTCACCAGTCCAGGTATCACTTCCCCACCAGTCCATGCTCAGACATGAGCTGACAGTGTGAATCATGGAACCAGAGCTGAAGCGTCCTGTATCACATATTAATCTTCCTCCTTCCGTCCCAACAGGAGATCCTGTCCACCTGTTGGTCCTCCGAGGCAGACAACAGGCCCACCTTCACCCAGATGGCAGGCATGCTGGAGAGACTCCCCAAACTGAATCGCAGGCTGTCTCACCCCGGACACTTCTGGAAGCCACCTGAGTACGTATCATAGACGGAGAAGGTACATTCATGGTCCAGGGTGAACTAGGCTGTATCATCATTCACACCAACACTCAAAAAGGGAGTCCATATCATTTTATTTAGTCGGCCAAAATGTAAAATTTCATGTCATGTAAGCGGAATGAGATGAGCTGGTCAAGTCAAATGGAAAATATTGTAAATATGATTTTGTAAAGAAATGTGAATATTATGAAGCTTTCCTGCTGAGTATCAACTAATATAAATGACACTGTCTAATGTGACTAATATTTTGTATTTTGAGGAAAGATCTAGTAAGACATTTTATACCGAATATGGTGTTTTAGTTGTTGCTCCCGCTACGCTTCCTTCATCCTTCCCTCCAGTCATTTGAATAGTGTTTCTCACAGTCAACAGTAATATTCTCTCTTGTGTCTGCTTCTTTCTCCTCTCTCTGTGATTTACTCTCCTTTGGGTGCCAACTGATCCACCTCTGCCTGCTCCTACCGTGCCTCATCTCCACGGCCTTCTTCGATCCTACACTTTCACCTCTGTCTGTGCCTCTGTTTCCCTGTCTCTCCATTGTTTTTCCAACGCTCATGACTTCTGTCTCCTCGCTCCGTTCTTCTCCTGGCGAAGGCTGTGGGATCATCATCACTGCCATCAAGGCCTGCATGCACATTGTCCATATATGTACAAATACAGCAGCTGAGGGGCAAAGCTGCTCTTGCTTTATTTTTGATTGATGTTGATTTTTAAAAGACTTTTTATCCAGCATATAACATGACATCTGTATCTGGTATCGATTTTTGTTATCTTGATTCTGCCCGCATTCTGATCAGCTCAATAAAATAATAATAATAGCTTATTGACAAGATGCCTTCTGCATACAGTTACACCTGAGAGTCTTCTTCTCCAGATAAGTTATCCAGACACAGACTACATGTTCATACCGGGTGTAAATGGGGTCTAAATCAGGCTCGTACTCTCTTCAATAGAGAACTGGTCCTTCTGACCTTCTCTTGCCTTTAGGTTGTGCACCAGCCAACTTGCCTTTGAGCTATTTAATTTGAAGTGTGTTGTTGTTTCTATAAATTCAGCCTTTTAAGTCCCGCCCCTTTTTGCAGTACCAGTTGAGCATGCCTCCGTCAACTTGCTCTATATATAGTCACAACTTAAGATGTGACCATATATAT